GATGCCCAGGACTGAACTGACCTGCTTGCTTTCTCTGCAGCCCAGGGCAGTGCTCAGGACCTCAGCCACACGCTAAGGGTTGCCATCTATATCTACTCCCGAGCTCTGCCTTAGGGGCTCCTTTTCCCATTTTTTCTTTCTCCCCACCCCATCCACCCCCCACTACCCCTCTCTACACAAACACGACTCAGTGGCTGCTGCCAACACTCAGTTTTAGGACCTGAGTTTCCCTTGTGGAGAGATGAGATACACACACACACACACACACACACACACACACACACAGAGGGAGGGAGGGACAGACAGAGGGATGGAGGGAGGGAGAGAAAGAAACAACTCGGGCATTTTCCTCATTCTGTGTCTCAGATGGGACTCTTCCTCAGCTTTGCATCAGAAAGGGTCTCTTCTAGGGCCTCCTCTCTTCACATCTGCTGCACAGGAAATAGGAAAGGAAAAGTAAAGATAACCTGTAAAATTCAAGCTCCCCCCACCCCCATTCACCTTGCAGAGCCTTGTCTTCTTAAGTTCCCCACAAGGGTGCTCAGTGGTGGTCAGTGGAGAGACAGGCTGTGGGGGCGGTTATTCTAGCTCACCCAGAACCAAGTATGTTGTCTTTGTGTTTGGGGGCTTGCTTTGAGACAGGCCTCCCTGCGTGGACTGGGCTGAAACTGGTGAGCATCCCGCTGGAGGCTCTGGGACATGTCCCCGCCTTCCTCTTCCCCGAGCTTTCGTATTGGCATCTTAGTGACAGGTTTGAAGCCTACCATCTGTCTCGGATGCTAGCTGCCAACCTTCCTCTTAGCAGTACACTATCTTTTAACTAATTGTCCTTTAACATTCCAATTCTTAAGCAAGGTTTTCCTGTACTGGTTTCAGTTTTTCTAGGAAAAAAAAAAAAAATCCTTAGCTTTGCCCTTTCTCTGGTCATAACAAGCCCCCAAACTTATAAGGTCATAATCATTTCTGTAGCGACAATTCCTGGGGGTTGCCGGAGCTCAGCTACCTCCCATGGCTGTATGACCTTCACCCCAGATATCTGATCCTTGGATATTTCCTCATCTGTAAAATGGGAATAAGAATTCTGTTCAGATCCAGAGGCCAGTGAGGCTGAAATAAATCTGTTATGGAGTGGTAGAACAGGGCCAGGCGAGCGGGCAGCTGCCCGGCACGTGCTCTGATTTCTGGTAGGAACAGTTTATATTAAGCGTATTTCCTTGTTCAAAGAGGCAGCTGAGACTTGAGCAGAGGACTGCTTGGCCTTCTCTGGCTGGCCAGGCCCGCATGGGGGTAGTGTGGGAGGAAGTTGGGCCTGGGAAGATCTTGCTGGTGAGCTAACCACAGTGTGGCTCACAGCGTCTCAGCATCCTTCCGTCAGAGAGCTGTGACTCCAGGGGATAAGTGGAGAAAAGCTGCCTGAGGAGAAGAGCAGCAGAAACAGAAGGGGAAGCCTGGTAATTGAATGGTTCCCAATACTTAAGATCAGTATTTCTGTGCCAGCAAAACCACCAGTTCCCCTGGCAGCAAGCTCTGGTCCAGCTGCGCGTGCAGCAGCTGTTCCTATCATCCCTGCCAGGCCTGCAGCATGCTTTCTCCTCTTGTGGGAGCCGGAGGCACCTGGGACTACCCCGCTGCCACACACACTGGCTCTCGGTGTTATCTCGGTGCTGATGTGAGAGGGCCCCTTCCCCTTCTGGGGACTCGCTTCCTGGCCAGGTCAGCAGACAGCCCCTGATGAATTTCAGATTAGCAATGTCAAAGTCAGGCATCCCTCTGCACCCGTCTCTGTGGGGTTTGGTTTTGCTGGCTTCGATTGTTTCCTGAGACAGGGTCTCTCTTGCAGCCTAGGCTGACTTCAAATTCAGTCCTCCAGTGCCTTCATATTTTTTTTGGCCACATTAGGGATAGAGGCCTAACGTGTAGCTTCCTGCCTCTAAAAAGTGCAAATACATGCCTTACCCTTAGTTCACACCTGCCTAATGCACATGCCCACAGAGTGACACTTCCAGCACAGAGCTGTCTCTGTACAGGGGGCGTAGGGAAGTTAAGTCAGGACTCCATGCACTCCGGCTGCTGAGAGCCCCACGCTGGCCCACTAGAGGCCACACGCCTTGCAGAGGCCAGGGAAGCAATAGATAGCAGCCCCTGGTACTCTGGGCTCAGGAAGACTTGGTTCAGCAGCTGCCACTGCCGGTGACTGCCTAAATGGCTTAATTTCTCTGAGCCTCAGTGTCCTCAAATGCAGCATGGGAACTGTCATAACACCTACTGTTTAAGTAGCTCAAAATGAGCCCTGATGGGCCTGGCAAGGATTTTTCACCCCTTTCTACAAAGCACTGCTGGGTCTCATTTAAAAGGCCATTACGACAGGTGGTGGCGCACACCTTTAATCCCAGCACTCAGGAGGCAGAGGCAGGTAGATCTCTGAGTTCAAGGCCAACCTGGTCTACAGAGCTAACTATAGGATAACCAAGGCTACATGGAGAAACCCTGCCTCAAAAAAAACCTAAACAAACAAGCCATTTCAACCACTGTTGTGGTCTTTATGGATGCTGTATGTGATATAAGAATTTACTAATCGCAATTTCCACAAGGCTGTCTTATAATATACACGGCCACTACCCTGGGACTGCCACCCTCCTGTGGGGTGTAGGTCTGTTGGGGTAGCTGTAGAGCAGTTGTGAGCCCCTAACTGCAACCTGGACCATAGCTCTGTGGACAGTGTGGTCCTTACAACCTCACATCTGTCTGTCATCAGACACCCCGACTCCCACCTCTGATTTCTCTAGAATCAGAGGAAGCCCCAGTGATGTCCCCAGGCCCTAGACATTAGGGACTCAGGGATTAAAGTCTCCTAGTCCCGAGGACTAGAGAACCCAGCTGTCCCTCAGAGCCCATGAAGCTGGAACTTCTCTGCAGGCACTCTGGACAAGGCCTTGGACTTGTCCCCCAAATAATTTAGTCATAGCTCCTGACCTTGGAGAGGGCTGTAAGGATAAGGTCCCGGAGGCTGGAACGTGGGGGTCAGGGTACCCTAGGCAGTCCATACATTCACGGGCTCTCTGTAATGACAGGGGGCGTGGCAGGAGGAGAGGAGGATGACCAGCTGGAGCTGTGGGTGAGCTCCCGTAGCCTGCGGGTGGCACCTGGGCAGTGCTGTTCTCAGAAGCCACATCATTTTCTGGCAGTACCAGCGGCTTCCATGGTAGTGAGGTGGGGGTGGGGCTGACAGCCGAGGGGCCAAGGATACTCTGGCCAGGCTTGAGCTGGCAAAAAGCCTCTTCCCTCTTACCTGAAATTCTGCTGTCCCACGGAGGCTGAGGGGAAGGGGCTGGGGCCTCCTCAGATGTGGCTAGTGCACAGTGGTGCTATGGATCTCTCTGAACCTCTACTATAGCATCCTTCTTAGAGTTGGGATGCCTGGATCCAAGGGATGCTCCACTAGGTGCTGGGTTCAGAAACATGTTAGGATATTGCATAGCCATGGGTTATCCCTTAAACTCAGCAGGGTGAAAAAGCTGGAGTAGAGGTACAGGCTCACAACCACCATGCGCAGGAATGGAGGCTGCTGTGGTAGGGGCTGGGCTCACTGAAGCCCACTGAACATAGCCCCTGATGCTGAACTACTGCGGTGCCCAGGGATTCAGATGCCCACTGCAGCAGCCATGCTGGACAAGCATGGGCATGCAGGAAAGAGTCTGTGAGCCAGTGAGGCTTCCCCCCTGCCTGTGCTTTGGCACTTGTGACAAGCAGAGCAGGAAGAAGGACAGACCTGCCGGTAATGGTGCCGACAACCACAGAGGGACAGAGCCCTTCCCTGCATGTGGGTCTGTGTTCCCAGCATCCTCTTGTACCATCACCTGCAGCCCAGCTGGAGAGGGAATTCCAGGAAGAGCTCGTCCCTGTTTTATAAACCTTTCCTCGAGGAAGATGTATACAGACACCTGCTCTCCATCGTGCAGGGCACCAGAGACAAACCGAAGTACGATTCCATCAGAGTACAACTTGGGGAGCCACTGAGGCTATCACGCTTACCTACAAAGTAGGGGTAACCCCAAAATAGCTGCATCACCAAAAAGTCTCCCCCTACTGGAGATGACGGTTTCCACAGATGGTGACGACTTGGGGGAAGACTAATGAGGTGCATGAGCGTGGGTGTGTGTACATGGGTGACTGTGCATGCGTGTGTCCAGGTGACCATGTGTAACTAGCCAGCTGCCACCATCAACACCAGACATGTAGGAGAGGCTCAGTGGCCAGTTGTTGAATGAGTGAGTGAGTGAATGAATGGATGAGTCTTATGGAGGGCTGCTACCAAGGTACAAGCTAATTTGGAAAAAAAATATCAAGAAGCTAAAATATATAGACTGGGAATACAGCTCCTTAGCATGCCTGCCTAGCATGCACAAGGCCCTGGGTTCAGGCCTCAGCATTTCGTGAAAAGGCACAGTGACATATGCTTTTAATTCCAGCATTCTGGAGGTGGAGGCAGAAGGACCTGAAATTTGAGGTTATCCTTGGCTACACAGCAACTCTGAAACCAACCTAGGACACATAAGACCTTGTCTGCCCCCCCCCCCCCAAAAAAAAGGGAAAAAAGTTGTTAGTCAGGCTTGCTGGTGCATGCCTGTAATCCCAGCACTCAGAAGGCTGAGGCAGGAGAACCTGGAGTTCTAGGCCAGCCTGGGCTACATAGCCAGACCCTGTCTATAAGACAGACAGACAGTGAACCTGGTAGCAGACTGTTGGCTTTCGGTGGGCTGTCTTTGGGGCAGGGTCTGGAAAAGCTGTGGACTACACCCTATTTTAAAGCCTCTTTATTATGATTTTTTCACTTGGGTCTTAAACAGAAGGGAATTACATGATCCCAGGCAAGAAGACTAAGCTGGGAACACTGGTCCTTCTGACTTAATTGGCGAACCCCACCCCACTTCATTCCACCTTCTTCTCTTGGGGTGCCCAGGGTACTTCACACACGTCCTCTTTCCTTCCCAAAGGTGGAAAAACTTGTGAAGTGTTTGGATCCCAATGACCTGGGGAGAATCAACTTCAAGGACTTTTGCCGAGGAGTATTCGCCATGAAAGGTGAGGTCCCTTTGGGGTCCTGTCTGGCTACGAGGCCAGCATACAGGGGTCCCAGAGCCCAGGGTGGGTCCCCAAAATGGGCTCTGTTCCTAGTGACCCATGGGGGCTGCGGGGAATGGTCTTGGGCATGGGTGGTGCATGGAGCTGTGTCTCTCTCAGGTCCCACCAGCAGGGCCTTCTCATATCTGCCTCCCCCAGGAAAACCGCTCCTGTCAGCTTCCTCCTCTTGCTATCTCTCTCTGCTAGGATGACTAGGCTCCAGAGTAGTTTCCCAGGACTTCCCACTTCAGCCTCAGGGATTTCCTCAGTCAGTCAGGAAGGCTTGCCTAACTAGTCCAAAGCTCTGGGTTCTGTTGCCAGCTAGGAGAGAGAGGAAAAAAAAAAATAGTCAAATGAACCCAGTTCCTGCCACAGCTGGAGAGAGCTGGCTGCTCTGTCTCGTCTCTTAGGGATTCCTTATTTATTAACTGCCTTCTCTCCTCTTAGCCCTTCCTAATTCCCTACTTTCTTCCCCCAATCTCCCTTTTTTTTCCCCCAAAAATTCCAAAGTCAGTTTTGAGACACTCTTAGAATACTCAACTTTTCCATCATGTTCCCCCAAGCTCCTGAGAAAATGGCTTCAGGGGGCCAGGAGGACTTCTGAGCACCCCCACCCCCGGCTGCCGGGAGAACGGGGAGCTACTTCCAGAAGCATCCTGTCACCTGTGAGGGGTCAGGTTCTCCCGTCTGTGGTCAGGTCTGGGCAAGCTCATCTCCGCAGCATCCTTGGAGTCCCAGGAAGTAGCAAGAAAGCAAGAATTCTGAAGCAGAAGTGAGAGGGAACCAGAAGCTCATTGGGGGAGTGGAGGGAGCCCAGAAACCCCTACTAAGAAGTTCTGCAGGGATTTGTTTGAGTCTGTAGGCCAGCTCAGACCACACCTGCCCTGTGCCTGGGCTAAGAAGGAAGGTTGCAGGTGGACTGGAGCACAGAGGGAAGTACTTCCTAGCTTAGGCACTTCCCTGAACTCAGCCTGCTCCTGCATGTGCGGGTGTCCCCTCTGTTTGTGCCCCTGGAGTCAGTCCCGTGGAAGAAGCAAGTGCCTTTCTAACACCTTGTGCAGCATCCTGAACCAGCCCTAAGCAACTGAGCATCCCCTCACCCGACCCTCCCACCCCCAAATCGGCCATTGTGTTTGAGGACATTGGCACCTGTTTCCTCCAGCTTTTCCCTCCGAGGCCTATTAGTCAGGAGAGCAGCCATGGGCTGAGACTCAGACCACTCACTCCCTGTCCATCCGTCCGTCTGTCCATCCACAGGGTGTGAGGAGCTGCTGAAGGACGTGCTGTCGATGGAGAGCTCGGGGACCCTGCCATGTTCCCCAGACATCCCAGACTGTGTGGAGCAGGTAAGGGCTGTGGCCTCGGCGCCTGCCATACTTGGCTACCCTCTGCATTCGCATCTGGGCTAGGCTTTGTGGCGTTGGGAAGGACCAAGCCTTCCACTGATGATCTTCCGGCATCAAATTAAAAAAAAAACAAAAAAACAAAAAAACAACAACTTCAGGAGAGCTGGGTAAGGTGGCACATACCTCTGAGCCCAGCCCCCAGGAGGCGGAGGCAGGAAGATCGCCACAGGTTCAAGGCCAGCTTGGGCCGCATTGCAAAACTCTGTCTCAAAATAAAACAAGAAAAGAATAAAATATCACTTAGGAACAGGCACAGTAAAGCTCTTAGGAAGGCATGGTGGAATAGGAACTGGGGCCACATAGTTTCTTCCTCCACCTTCCTGGTGATGCTGAGGGAAAACTGAGGCCCGGGAGAGAACAGTGGACTTGAGGCCAGAAGGGCAGGAATGAAATTTTTTTCTCTTCATCCACTGTGTCTGTGCAGATAGGTTCTGGGTGGTTTCTTGTTTTGTTTGTTTGTCTGTTTTGCCTAAAGAGTCATTTCTCCAGGCTCTGGCATAGATGAAGTGCCCAGCAATCAGGCTTAGCCCGACACCTCCCAGCAAATTCGGAGTTGCAGGGTTAGGGACTCTCCCTTCACGCTGCGGTTGATGGCTCACTGAGGAACAGCCTCATGAAAGAGTCACATGCGGAGAGGTATGGGAGCTGGGTGTTTCTACGCACCATCTGCTAAGCTAGCTTCCTCACACACCTCGGGCCCACCTGCCCTGGGCTGGACCCTCCTCATCCACGAGGCATGAGTTAAATCCTCCGTCACACCCACAGTTCAGCCGGATGCAGGCAAACCATCACTTGTGGGTGTCCCTTCTTCCCACGGGTAGCAAGCTGACGACCAACAAGAGCCATCATACAGACCAAGTGCCATGACTCTAATTCTAATTTTATTTTGTATTTTTACGTGTCCTTGGTTTTAGTTGACTTCTGTTCTCTCCCTACTCTCTCTGCTCCCCATACCTTTCTACCTCTAGTACTTTCCCTTTTTACTTTCATAGTACATGTGTTCCTGCCCCTTTCCCTTAAAGCCTCTGTGGTCCTCTTGTCCCTTTCTAGTTTCCTGCCTTCTATGCATACTTGATTCCCATAAATACGTTGTGTGTGTGTGTGTTACATTATAGTCTCTTTTGATTCATTCTGCTATTATTATTAAATGATGTGTTTATAAAGCATTGAACTATTCTTGCAAGCACAGCTTTGTCCTACAGAGATGGTTTAAATCACTATCTATAGTCTCCAGGGAACCTTGTGGCTGGATAAGGACTGTTTTGTTTTCTCACCCACATCAGCTCCAAAACCTCTCTGGCTCTGGGTAGTACGTTACCCAGAGGCCACTCCCCTGAGAAGTGAAACAATCCTGAGGCCACAGTAGCTACTCACCAGGTTCTTGGGAAGCTTCTGGATGCTGGGGTACAGGTGGGCTTCTGTGGGCAGGACTGGGGGGAAGGAACCTGTAAGACATCCCATAATGCTGAGGGTGGCCAAGCAGACTGTGTCAAAGACGTTCGAGGAATCGCCAAGAGGCAGAGCTGTAAGGAACTCAGGTAAAGATTGTGGTAGTCAGGGCTGAGTGCGGCCTGGTGGTAGATTGTTTACCTAGGTTATTATGATTGATGCGTTCACCCTGATCAGACTGAGAAGCACCTGGAGCAGAGGCTCTCAACCTTCCCAGTGCTGTGACCCTTTAATGCGGTTCCTCACGCTGTGGTGATCCCTAGCCATAAAATTATCTTCACTGCTACTTCATAACTGTGATTATAAATTGTGAGACTCCCAAAGGGGTTGGGACCCACAGGTGAGATCCACTGACCTAGAGAATTAGGAAGGGCCACTTCAGGGTGTGTGGGAGAGGGTGTTTCCAGAGAGGGTTAACCAGAAGGAGATCTTCCCTGGATACACGGGCAGCACCTTGCCGTCGGCTGGAATCAAAGGACGAGAAAGGGAAAAGCCCTGCTGCCCTTCTGCTGTCCTTCCTACCAGGAGGTCTGAAGCTTCTGCCACACATTGCTACTGTCATGTTACTCTGCCTTACCCCAGGCTCCAAACAGTGGAACCAAAGCAAAACCTTCCTTCCTTCCTCTTTTCTTTCCTTCTTTCCTTCCTTCCTTTTTCTTTTCCTTCCTTCCTTCTTTCCTTCCTTCCTTCCTTCCTTCCTTCCTTCCTTCCTTCCTTCCTTC